AAATGATTATTAAAATACTCATAGTTTTATTTCCAAAACCAACATTTACTAATCGTCTTTAGTAAAACCTAGCATGTACCAAATTCTAATGGTAAAAGCCCGGAAAATCATCTCACTTTATAAAAATCCTTACATTTACCAACTCATGTTGGTAAATCCGAAGATTTACAAGTAAAACCTAGGATTTACCAATATACGGGCTTTTACAGTAACATAAGCACCAGACGGAAAAACAAAAAATATCGTGTATCCACAAGCACTCCAATAAATAAATAGAATTGAAACGACACTTTGAAATGTTTTCCCGATGAAAATGAATAATAATAATAATAAGTTTCAATAAAAATGATAAAATGTAAATTGAATTTTATCATAACGAGTTTGCTTGAATTTCCTTTCTTCTGAGATCGCAGCAATGCGCGACAGGTAAGCTAGTAGTTTTATAAAAAAAAATCATCTTGAAACTGACTACCAACCATTTGATTAAATTTTTTAAAAACTTTTCATTTTATGTTTTGCAATAATATAGACTTAGAAAAATAGTAAAATGTTAATATTTAAATAAAAAACATAATTTATACTCTGTTCATTCTCATTTTATTAATTCACATAAATAAATACAGTAAATCATGATTTAATGAAAATCACCAAACACTAAAAGTAAAACACATTACAGATGTAAAAAATATCCAGCAATCAGTTGCTTAACTTTCCCGGCAACATTTAAAACTGCATGTGGTGCAATCTCTTCTGATATTTTATTAAAAAATAACTTTTTATATGCTTAATTATTATAAAATGGCAAAAAGCATAATTTTGAAAGTAGGGATAAGTTTTATAAAAAAGTTGTAAATGCCAATAACAAATAAAGCTGTCATTAAGTCTGACCTTACTCGATATGATACACAACCCCCTTTATCTCCCCATTTAACCTCCAAAATTTAATATGATACGATATGTTTAAAAGTGTTAGAAGGCTAAATCTTACGGCATAGCCTTTGAAAAGGAAGGATGAGTTTTAGTGAAACTCATCCTTCCTTTTCAAATGCCCCATGTGTTGTAACTATGTATATTCAATAAATGGAACGCGACAGCGCCATGGTTCCCATTTCACACTTTCCTATCATTCCTCTAAAGGAAGTGAGAGGAGAGAAGAAAAGTAAGGAATGCTAGAGGGAATAGTGGCTCTATTTCTGGGTCGGAGGAGTATACTGCTAAGGCGGTGTTGTTTCTATGATGTAGGGTGTCCGCTTTGTGTTCTTTGATTCTAGTTACTAAGTTGCGTTTAGTGGACCTGATGTAGATTACTTCGCTGTTGTCTCTATGATCGATGATGGGCACAGAGTATACTCCCGGAAGTCTGTTGCTGTCTGGAGTGTCTTTTCCGTTTCTAAGCCAATCGAATATTGTGGCGCACCTCTTAAATGCCAAGCGGACATTCTTTTTCTTGGCTATCTGGTTGTATATGTCCTTAAGTGCCGGGTTGTACGTGATTGGTATGTACTTAACCAGGGAATCATTGGAATGAGAGGTATTGTTGGATTGTTGTTGGAGTACCTTGTTGTTTATCTTGCATAAGATGTTGTGATAGCCATGTTGTTTAGCTAAACAACATCTTATGCAATATAATTATTAATTTAATTAATTTATACTCAACTTGTCCTATATATATATGAGCCATTCACAAGCCAAATCAATTAACTACTCCACATTTTGAAATTTTTAAATTTTAGTGTGAAAGCACTTGATATACTTATAACTTTTTATATTCAAAATAAGTTTTCCTAATAATAAGGATCGATACCACTTAATGACAAAATTTTATTGGCCATTGAAAAAAATTTTTATTTATTTCAGAAGCCAATCTAATTAACTCCATACTGTAATGTTAATCTGCCAGTGCACACTGCGATTGCAATGCTGCAGTGTGCACTGACCAGTGTTTTGTAGATAATGGTAAATTATTTAATGTTATCTCATCACAAAAAGTAAGTAAAAGAAATTAGTTACAGTCCAACTGCTGCAGAAGTAAGTATACTTGTGGAATATTGAACGATTGTTTTAATTTTGGTGACAATTCTCCTAAGAGCTTGTGAAGTCAACAGTTCAGAGGCATATATTCTTATGATGGCAAAATTTCCAAAGTGCATCTGCAGCTCTGCAGCGTTCTTATTATTTTCCAGCAAGGTAACAGGCACTGTAGCTGATAAGAATGACATTCAATAGTTGTGACCAGAGCCTGGATGCAACATGTGTGTTTATGCAAAGAAAACTGATTTTCCATTATTTGCAGTGTAAAATATGCCAGTGGTGAGTCTTGTTATTAATTTTTTGTTTTTGTGAAATATCTACATTCCTGAGATGTCACATCTCAGATTTGGTTGCATTTAGACTGTTAAGTATCGCTCCACACAGCATCCTTTAGTTACAATCACTCAGCATATTAATATTTTCTTTTAATGATTAGAAAAATAAATTTCTCTTTAATATTAGGAATTTATTATTAAAACCAAATGATCTGCCATATTATTAGACTAAAATAAGCCTAATTTTATAATCAGATATAAAATAATTTTACTAGAGGAAGTCAATTAGGTCTGACTGCCTACCTCTAGTCAAATTACTTTATACCTAATTACCTAATTACATAATTTATACCTAATTACATTTTAAATTTACAAAATTTAAGAAAAATACTTAAAAAAGGAGACAATTGCAGGGAAATGCCTTTTGCAATTCTTATCAAATGTTTTTATTTTTTTTTAATTGTACTGTTGCCAGAGAGATTTTTTAACATTTTATATTTAGGCAGATAGGTAGCTTCAAAAGAAGGGTCGACTCTGCTGTGGAACTGTTATTTTCCTCGTGTATGTGCAAAAGGACAAAGTGAAAAGACATTTCTATGAATTGTCTCCTTTAAGAATTTTCTTAAATTTTGTAAATTTAAAATTTTATTTGTCCTGGCTGCAATTTTATCAAATGTTGTTATAATACAGTAGATTGCCTTGCTTTGATTAAAAACTGGATGTGTGGATTTATTGTTTATGTAACTTACAGGATGATTCACTGGTGGTGTTCAGTAGTTTTTCTTGAAAACTGTAAAGATTGGAAGATGGGACTAATAACCAAGTTTATAAAGCAGACAGGGGATAATTTTTAGTGACCCTGGATGGCCTTGAAAACCAGTGACTTTTGAGATATAGAACAAAATATGTTTTTTTGTTTAATGATAAGATTAATTATAGGTTTTGAGCCATTATATGGATAGTAGACAACAAAGTAAACACCTCTTATAATAGATGACATTTTCTTAAATCTAATGGTCTTCAAGATATTTACTAATTTCTTCTAAAAATCTGATTTCTTTTTTCTTGAAGGTTTCTATGTGGCAAATAAATTTATCAGTTTATTTATCAAAAAGCTTTACATGACAGAAACATTATAGTAATGAAAGTACATTTCAAAATTTACTTAAATTAGATGCTTAAAATGTCTACCTTTTTGATGTATACAGGGATTTGTTCTTCTAGGAAAAGCATTTAATACATTTCATAATTTACATATACTAATTTTACAAAACCTTTCCTAAATTCTGATTTTCATGTTTTCTGTTGAAGGATGCTGAAAGTAAGTCATCTCCTAATTGGTCTGCATGAAGACTAGCATAAAGATTTGAAGCCTGTGAATAACTTTGATGACATGCATCTAAAGCCATCAGCATATTAAATGTTTCTTCTTTTGAATAACTTACTTTCATGAAAACAGAGAAAATAAATAAATACACAAAAATGAAAAAGATCACTCCTTCATATGAACTTTGAAAAAGTAAAATTCAATTTATCCTGCTTGTTCAAATATCTATAAGATAAAGAACAAAAACTGATAAAATTAGTTCTCAGCATAGAAGCTTTCAGGAAAACAAGCAGATTTTTAGAAGGAACTGGCCAATAATTTGAAAATCATTCGTTTAAGAAAATGTGACCTATTATAAAAAAGTGTTTATTTTGTCATGTACTATTCATATAATGGCTCAAATGTACCTCTTATAATTTAAAAAAGCTCTACTTTGTTCAGTATCTCAAAAACCACTGATTTTTAAGGGCAAAGTCACCAAAATTATCTCTATCTGCTCTATAAACTTTGATTATTAGTCCCATCTTCCTATCTCTGACATTTTCCTAAAGAAAACTACTGAACACCACCAGTAAATCACTCTTTGTATATAAACAATAAATCCAAAAACCTGATATATAATATAATAAATTCTTTTGATAAATGTTATTTGTAAATATTCTAGTTTTGCTATTTGAATTGAAAAAGTATTGGAGTATATAAGTATTAGATTGTTAAGATTCACAAAGATAAATAATTTTATAATGTTCTATGTTTTTCATCAAATTTTAATTCAAATTTATAAAAACAATACCTTATCTTTTTCTCGTTTTTCCTCAGCTTGCTCTCTTCGTTTTTTTGCTCTCAACATCTTCCTTTGTATCATTTCTTCACTTATTTCTTTCTCAGGACTAACTGCAATTATTTATGCACACAATATTTATTTGTAATAAAACTTTTAATTAAAAAAGCAAAAAAATATTAGTATTTATACATACAGTCGACCCCCCTATAATTACGGTCCCTATAATTACAATTCCTATAAAACTACAAAAAAATATACGTATTTTGGAAATGTTGAGTCGGATTAGTGTAGAATCGATTAATTTTATGGAAGAAAACCTTTCAATCAGCCGTAGTCCGTAAACTTGACACGTGTCGGGCTGTGATTGGAACGACTTGTAAGAAATCGGATTCCTAATAAATTGGAACGTATCTATATCTTATAGGGGGGTCGACTGTACATATATATTAAAATTACATACAAAAATTTTGAAACTAACCTAGTGGAGCTAAAACTACTTCCTCTTTATCTTTTTGAGTTTTACTTTCAAGCAATGCTCTCTGTAATAAAAAAGTAAATATGAAAATTTAATTGTCAAATAATGAAATTTAGCTACTGAATTGATAACATTACTATAATATAAAAACTAAAGACAAATATACACTACTGAAAGTAATATTATTTTATGTTTTTATAAAAGATTATCACTGGGTAAAATCAAGATATTTTTCACGCTGATAATTATATATGAAATAAATAAAACTATCTTTTGGCATTAAAATTAATTTTAATGCCAAAAGACAGTTTTGTTTATTTTGTATAAAATATTTTGATAATAAAATCAAATATCTAAATTTTCCTTTTACACAGTCCTTGAAACCATATACAGATATGTTCTGCTAATGATGGAATTATGTCATTAAGCAGTTTCATACTATAGTGAATATTATAGTGTATACTTAGATAGATTTATCTAGATATATATAAAATTGCTTGTCCTGACTGACTGACTCACTGACTGATTCATCATCGCCCAGAGCAAACCGCTGGACCTAGAGAGGTGAAATTTGGTTACACAGTTAGGGTACGTCATGAAAACGCACACTAAGAAGGGATTTTCTGAAATTCCCAAGTGGGGGGAGAGGGAGAGCATTAAGGGTTAACCGGGAAAAACGGCTTCTACTGTACTATTTTAGATGCAATTTTTTGTTTTTATCTGTGTTTTAGTAGGGTATGCCATGGGAATTCACATTAAGAAAGGATTTTTCAAAATTTCCCCACGGGGGAGAGGTAGAGCATTAAGTCTTAACCGGAAAACGGCTTCTACTGTACTATTTTAAATACGATTTTTTGTTTTCAACTACGTTTAGTCTTCATTGAGTACTTAGGTGTATTAAATTGATAACATTTCAGACATTGTTATAAATATTTTTATCTATTTCGATTTTAAAAATGTTCGAACCGTTTTAAATTCGAATTTGTTATTGCATATTGGTTCGATTATAGAACGATTGTAAACGTTCCAGAAAATTGATCAAATTGAAAATAGTTCGTTTGATTTTCGGCAATTCTCTTCAGCGGTAGGTGTTATATGACAATTACTATGGTTATTGAAATATTGAATGTAAATGGGGTTTCCTTGCAAAACCTCCACAGATGAAGTTGCGGGTAACAGCTAGTATTATATAAATCTACTACACATATAGGCTATATGTAATATAACTCTAACACAATGATAAGTATGTCTTCCAAAAAAATGCTACCATTTTAAATTACTGTAATTATATGTTAATTATTACCTGAGAAGTATGCAACGTACACTAATTGATAGAGTACCTGTTTGAGTTTTATCCATCATATGCATTCAAATGCATTGTTGCCTACTGCCTCTAGGAAGAATTGTAAATAAAAATGGCTACTCCACAACAGAGAAGGCATTTAGTGTTCTGCAGCCCAGTCAGAATCAGTCATCATTGTGCTATAAGAATGTTTGTTCTTACATGGTGGATCACATAAAAATCATCTACAAAACTCAAAAAATCATTGAAAATCACATTGCACAATGATCATTGATTCCAACTTTTTGAACTACAGAACACAAAATTCTTTCTCTATTATGGAGTTACCATTTTTGTTTACAGCACTTCTAGAAGTAGCAGATAAAAAGATGCTCATATGCAGATGGCAGATAAAACTCAGACATTTACTCTATCAATTGGTATGTCATATACTTCTTAGATAACAATTAACATAATTACAGTAATTTAAACTGAAAGCATTTTTTTTGGAAGAGATTCTATTTATGTATCAAAACATGGAAAAGGTCCAGATATCTATGAATTTTTCAGCTCTGTTATAATCATATGTGACTTCTGTCATATACTGTGTATGCTCCATTATTAACTAGGACATATCTGTATAAAGCAGAGTAAAACTGAATGAATTTACTAAATAGATCATGTTTTCCAATTTAGAACATCATACATTTTTGGATCAACTTTAATAGATAAAAAATTATTATTATGAATTAAAGAATAATTTAGAAAATATTTAATGTTAATAACATTCACATATGAATTTTAAATATTTATACATAAATATTCAAACCCCTGATTTCCCGTAAAAAAATTACTGCAATATGTATAAAATAAAAACATTTACTTGTCGAGCAGTCATTAAATTAGGATCTTTCATTCTTCTTAATTCTTCATCTACTTCATCCAATCTTCCTGATTCTAAAGCTTCTAACCATCGTTCTTCTTCATCTACTTCTGCTGCAGGTTTTGCGTTTCCATCAGTACTGGGAACAGCAACATTGACTGTTTCATCCACTACTAAAATAATAGTAATGTTATCATTGTAATGATTACATTATGAAAGCATATTTTGAAATTTATTATAATGTATTAAAAAATGTCTTTTTGTCTGTTTGTTTGTTTACAGCAACATAAGATATCAGCAATGTCTCCTGGAAGGACTTTCTACAGGATACTGACCCCTATTTAGGTGTTGCACATGTGAAGAAAGCCCAGAAAACTCCAAGTGATATGCCTGGTGGAAAATCCAAGACCAACTACCAGGGTTCAGTGGTTTTTATCCACTCAGGCCCATGTTTTTGCAATTTTAAGTTATTAAAGTATTGACTGTATTTAACAGATTTTTAAAAATGTAAATGAAAATTACTGTATACAACAAAATTATACGTTACTAGCAGACCCTGCCACGTGTTGTTGTGGCTCAAAATGTATCTATTATAAATGTATAACACTTTCCCCATGGGGGAATTTTTCGAAAAAACCTTTCTTAGTGTACATTCTCTTGACGTACCCTATTAATTTAAAACGCAATCAAACACGCAAAAAACCGCATCGAAAATAGTATAATGGAAGCAGAGTTTTTTATGGTAAGCCTTAATCCTAACCATCTCCCCCAGGGGGGAATTTTGACATGTATATTATATAAAAACACGTGCGTATTCAAATACAACGTAGTGTCAAAATTTCAAAAAAATCAGTAGGAACACACAAACATTACATTTTTATTTATATAGATAGATAGAAGATGATCCGCTTTAGTTCATCCTCACAGAAAAGCAAACTTAGGTCGTTGTACTCGTAGTGCCATTTGTTGGACATGAAAGCCTTAACCTAGATGATATCTTTTAATTTATATGAATGTTTACCGGAATAATATACAGCCTATGTCCACCCTAAAGTTCCATTCTAAATATTGGTGAAAGAATTTTTGAAATTGGATAAGTAGTTTCAGAGATTACCCACTACATCCAAACTTACAAACATTACCTCTTTATAATATTAGTATAGATCAGGGCTGTGGAGTCGCGTAAAAATCTACCAACTCCAACTCCAACTCCAACTCTTCCTTACCATCTGACTCCAACTCCGACTGGGGGGCGGACTAGTTTCCGAAAGAGACCTGGAAATTCTGATGTCATTACATGACCTCAGAATAAACGATTCAATAAATAGAGTTCTAATAAAGATAGAACATAGAAATTTTTTATTTCAAAGCTAAAAGACTCCTCTGAGTAATATATAAATATGTATTCAATAATTTTTACTTTTCCAGCTGTTATATATAACGGAGGATATAAAACAAAGTGTAGCACTCGGTCAAAAAAATGACCTCTCCCAAATTTTTACATTTTTGGACTCAGAACACCTTGAAATTTCGAGTTCATTAAGCAAAAGATTCGAGGTTTTTCTATATGTGTGGATGTTAGACTGTGTGGGGGGGGCATGATTTTGTTCACCCTGTTTGAAGCCTAATAATTTCTGTGGTCAAAATGGTCAGAATCGGAGTGAGATAGTTTAACACAGGAGTTAGTTATTAAGAGTCAAAGTGGTTGAACTAAATCGTGTCTCCATACACATTCTAACATCTTAGGCAAGAACATCTTAACGGGTTTACTGTACTATTATAAAATGACAAAAAAAGCTTACTTTGGGAGTACAGATGAGTTTTATTTTATTTTTTTAAATTTTGAATGCTAATAACAAGTAAAATATTCATTAAGAGATATGACATGTGACCCCTTTTATGTCTTCACCCTGTCGACCTTTAATTAAGAACCAAAATTTAATAGTATTAATGCCCCTTTATATGCAAGCTACAGTGCCACATTTCGTTTCTTAAACTTTATCCATTCTGAGATATTGTTTAATATCTCGGAACAGAAAATAAAGAAATTAAACAAATTAGACGCCAACACACAAACACAATTTTTCCCCTTTTATTGACTTTTTTGAGGGGTTCAGGAGGTCTCCAAAAGTGTAGATTTGCAAAAAAAAAAAAAAAATGGAGGGTCAAATTTGACATGATTCCAATACTTTTCCATTTTATGTACGTAACAAGTTGGTAAGTAAAAAGGAGTCGGAGTCGGCGGATTTTTTGACGACTCCGACTCCGGCTAAAACACCAAAACTCCACGACTCCAACTCCACAGCCCTGGTATAGATATAACCAAGAGTCAGCAGAGAACATTAAGGTGTCCGCTTTCCACGCACTTGTGGCTAGAGCCCACTCACATTGTACACAGCTCTTAGATACTAAAAACAAGCTAGAACAACTGAAACATATCACATCCAAACATGGGTGCAGTCACTCATTTATCAACAATATAGCATCCACATATCAGGCCAAGTCAATCAACACCAATACTAATGTTAACAACACAGAAGAGAAATGAGTACTTCTAAGTTACGAACCATCCCTCTGTCACATATATAGGAGGATGGCCAAGGATTTAAACATATGCATAGTGTACGAAAGGAAACCCACCATGTTCCTTCTTTTCTCTAATTTGAAGGATAAAACTGAGGATGCAAGAGCACCTGGAGTTTACTGCATCCCACTACAGAATGACAGGTTCAAAAGGACACTAACGTACATTGGTTCCACATACTGATCATTACAAGCCCAGTTACGAGATCACAAGTATGATGTGGCGAAAGGAAATATCAATATGGCCCTGGTCCCGTATGCCATCAAGCCGGGAATTTCCCACTTATGGGAGGAGGCTACCCTAATACACAGGATATTTGACAGACAACACAAGAACATTAGAGGCCGCAGAAATCTACAGGGCCGACATAAGAGGAGCATGCATCAACACAGATTGCATTCCCGTACCAAATGCATGGAAGTATTATTTAGACTCTTAAAGGAATATAGGTTGCTTAATATACGTCACAGCCATTGTTTGAACTGATTTTTAAAAATTTTTTAAAATTACATGTATAACACGGCAACATTCTATAAATAGAACAGTTATTTTCGTTTGACTTTTCCTGATGAAGGCCGATTAAGGAGTGGCCGAAAACCTTGAAATGTTGAATTTGAGTGTTTTGCTGGAAATTTGACGTTTAGGCAAGAATCTATAATATTGATTGTGAAAACATTTATGATAAAAATATGAAAAATTATGAATTTGATAATTAATATGAACTAATATCTAATGATTTTAAAACAAATACAGGTAACCCCCCGTATAACACGGTAGTTACGTTCCAAAAAATTGCCGTGTTATACGAAACAAAGAACTAATACGAAAAGGAGGGTTTGGTTCCAAAAATTAAAAAACATGCTAGTATATTTTCATAATTAAGATAAATATCTTCATTAAAATTTTTTAAGTGATACATATTAATATAAATTAAACAATGTTTTCTTCGTCATCACTAAAAACACTATTAATTAACCGAGAGCGTTTTCTTTTTGGCAAGTTATCCTTATCCTCTGAGCATTTTTCTGCATTATCTTCAGATCCATGCTTTACCTTTTGCAAAATGTATGTAATTTTAGATTGCTTGCTTCTAGTTAAAAGGTCTTTATAAATTTCCTTATATGGTGCTAAGCACTTATGAAGAATAAAGCAAGTATGGAATAAGGGAAAAACATTCGGCAACATCAGAAGCAGAAGCGTCGCGATCTGGCAACATTGAAACAAGTTTCGAGAAGGACCACGTGTATCAACAGAAGGCGAGAAGAGAAAATTTACATACTTAAGTACTAATAGTTCACGAAAATAATAATTTTCGTGAACTATTATTACTTAAGTATGTAAAAATTTATTACATTTCCTGTTGTACGAGGGTTTTACTCAATTCTAGAACTGTGTCAGAGTGAATCCGTGCTATAAAAGTACAGTGTTATATGGGGGATGGTACCAATTCTCAAACCATGTTAGAGTGAATCCGTGCTATAGAAGTGCCGTGTTATACGGGGGTTACCTGTATATGAAGAATAAATACTGACCTACAATTACAATAGTCATATGGATACAAAAACAATAATGGTAGAGAGATCCATTAAATACATATATAGTTAAGAGGGGAAGGGGCCATTTACATTAAACTTCACATATTGTAAATTTTAGCAATTAAATTCTATTAGTTATTTGGTAATAGATTTATAAAAATATAGAGATACAAGATTTAATCTACATGACAGTTAAATAATCCAACTATTCCTCTCTTAGCTTATTCACATACTCCTTCATTTCCATGAAGTTGAGTGTTGTTTTGTACAAACTTTTATCATTAATTACACCAAAGGAGTAATGAACCAATATTAAAATTTGCTGCAGGTTAGATATAATAGCAAATTAAACCTTAAAAAATGGTGTTGTTGTTGACATATTTTCAAATAAGGTTTTAGGACCCTGAAGATGACAAATGCTCAGATGATCAGCAATGGTTTGAACTACAGAAATGATCAAGGAAAGGACCCTTAGTATATAAACACAATAACACCACAAACTACTCCAGCAATAAACTTTAGATCAAAAATGTTATTGAGTTCATTAGTTTAATGGATCTTATTCAGTTGTCAAGCACAAAATGGAATAGAACATACAATATTTTAAAGATTAATGCCAAACAATTGCTGGATTATATCAGGCTACATTAATAATTAAATGTTATTTGGCTTAGAAGTAGACATTAGGTGACATCTCTTAATAATTATAATTAAATTAATATTTGATGATTAATTTAAAAGGTTCTGGAAAAAACGAATTGGCCTAAAGTGGGACTCAAACCCACAACTTCCATTTATTGTGCAGATACATTGACAATTACATTACCTGGACCTCCATCTGATCTTTGCTTCAAGATCTTAATTTTCATGCATGTGCTTTCAACATTGATTCAAGAAACGTTCTCTTTTCCAGTTTATATTCTATTCTTTAACATTTAGGTGCTGACAATGACTCATATAGAATTTAACACTTTTAATTAAAAAAAAAGTGTTTGGTTTTCTCAATTAGCACTCATATACACCATATTTACTTAGATATAAGATGATCTTGCATATAGGATGAGGTGTGACTTTAAAGATCAAAATAAAGAAAATTAAATTTATTCATACAATTTTAATTTTATTTCATTTCATCACAAAAAAATTTCAAATGTACGTATTAAGGCAAACAACCCTGACGCTATCACTTTTTGTCTACTCAGACTCACCCTCCGAAGCTTCGTTACAACACTCATCTTTTTTACTCTCACTCCACAAAGCATCATTTTCTGATCCGTCGAGTGAGTTTGAAATGCAGCATTTTCTGAATGATTTCGCTATCAGCTCGTGAGGAATGCTCTTCCACGCAACTGATACTCACATAGCAATCTGTGAAGCTTTAGCCCATTTGATGCGACTGTTTGTGGTCACTTTACGATTTTCAGAGGTAAGCCAATCAGTGTACAGTTTCCTCATGCAATCTTTAAATTGCTTGTTGATGCACATATCCAAGGGCTGTAATTGTGATGTCATTCCCCCAGGAATCGTTACAAGAGTGCTCATTTTCCCCTAGAAGATTTTTAATGTCATCTGTGAGGTGTCCCTTGAATGCATCCATCGCTAAAATTGACAGTAGTTTTAGCAATGCTTCTGGTTGATGGGCCATACTATTTTTAACCAGCCACTCATATGCTTGTTGTTCATTTAGTCTTTCTCATGACATTGAATAACATCATCTCTTGGAAAAGTTTCATTTTTAGGGATTGTTTTCTGCTTCAGTATAATGTATGGTGGCAACTTATGACCATCTGCTGTGCATGCTAGCATGACTGTGATTCTTTGCTTTTCATTCCCCCCTGACCTAATGAATACTTGCTTTTCTCCTTTTTGATGGGCAGTTGTATTGCTCGGCATATCAAAATAAATTGGCATCTCATCTTCATTCCCAATTTAACTTATTAGGAATTTAGTCAGTTTTCTTAAATTGATGATGTGCCTCTGAAACTGGACCAGATTGGCTTAATAATTTTTGTGATCAGTGAATAATTTTTGAACAATGGAGGTCCAGTGTCTTATGGAGAATCCTGCTCTTTTCATGAAGCGGGATGCCCAACCGCAACTAGCTTTGAATTTTTGCCATGATATTCCACATTCTTTTGTGAGATCTCTTGGCTTTTGCTTGGAGAATTTCCACAGTCACAAGTATACACTTATTGCACATGTGTTTCACAAAATTTTGTAGTTCTTCTTCTAACTTTGAATATTTACCAGTTTTCAATCCACGAAATGATTGTTTTGTACTTTCACAATTAAACAACGAATCTCTCTTATTATGCCACTTCTGCACACACACACACTTCTGATACACCAAACTCAAGGCCTGCGACCAGTTATTTGTCTTTTATGCATGCAAAATTACTTCTCTCTTAAAAGAAGCTGTGTACTGCGTTCTACATACTTTTTCCATCGTCAAAAACCAATGGTATCTTTCCACTTACACTCGCTAACAGTAAAATATATGTTCGAACTTGTACTCCCGAGATCTATGAATGTATGCCTTACGTTCCTTTATTTATTATTATTTTAAATGTGTTATATCTAAAATATCTAGTTTATATTAATAATTGTCATTAAATTAAATTAATTAATGAAATGTGGAAAACAATTTACATTAATGTAATAATAAACGTAAGAAAAGTGGCAATCTGATTGATATTCAGACAAATGAAGAATTAAAAACATTAAATTAAAATTGAGAAAATGTAGGATAATTTTCATGTACTAATACTCGCACTTGACAATACATATCAGTAAGTAATTTATTAACTGATTATACAAAAATTATTGCAAAAGCGCAAAGAATTCTTCACTCGCACATATAAGACGTCCTAGTTTTTTGAAGCCATGAAAAATGAATAAAAAACTCGTCATAAATGCAAGTAAATATGGTAGTTCATTTATGACATACAATGACAAGTTTCTTCTTGGAATATATAAAAATTATCCTTTGTAGCATGGATGTAGTTCAGTATTTTTCACAAATATATTAAGCTTAGCAAAATAACATATTAAAAATATAATTTGACTAGGTAAACCAAATATTTCTTTCAACTAAAAATAATAAACTGGCTAATGTATACAAGTTTCCTGAACTGAAAAAGATAATTAAAATAAAACTAGAATGTCAAATCAAATAGATGAAAATATTTTAAAATAAAATAGTTGACTCACACCATAACTTTTCTAATGAAGATCATTTATTGCATTTAAACAATGACATTAAATCATTTAAGTAGCTGAACAGTGAATATATCTTGAATAAAATGTTCTTACAATACAAGAACATTACAAACAGAACAGTAAAAATGTCAAATATTTAAGTACAAATACAGTAGAGCCTCAAAAACTCGGCACTCGATAACCTGGCACTCCGGATAACTCGGCCACACCCTGGCAGGGCAAAAAAATCCTTAGTTAATTAATTTTCATTATAGACAGCTTTATGCCTCAAAGTATTTTTCTGAGGTCTGTCTTATCAGGTAAATTACTGTACACAGTGTATTCATTAATTTTCATTTTCATGTAGTAAAGGCTCTATGCCTTCATAAAGGACGTACTGTACTTTTCCTTTTGTTTAAGGGTATTTGGACAGTTTATTCTCTGTTGTATTCTCAAGCAAACAATACATACAAGTACAGTACAATATTTTCTGAGGAAACACACATACTTATCCTTTTTTAACCCTATTCCCGATAACCCGGCATTTTCACAAACTCGGCCACCCTTCGGTCCACATTAGGCCGAGTTTTTGAGGCTCTACTGTATTCCACTTCAATTACTTATTTAAGAATGGTGCTATATTTAATTCAAAAAGGAATTTTTGTCATCTTGATAAAAGAATTTGTCAATTACTTGAATGAAAAAGGACATTCAGATTTTTAATTTTTATTTTTCTATTTAATATCTAATTATTTAATATTTATTCTATTTAATTATTTAATAATTATTTAATTATTATATATGTTATTTATTGGAAATTTAAAAAATAGTTATTCTCAGCTTAACATTTTTACTTGTTTAGTATCATATTTTATAGCTATCGATACATCAAATTCAGTAAGAAAATTCTATGTGATTTAATTTTAAATAATGTGATTAAAATTTGTATTGATAAGATAACAAATGGCACTATCAAAATAAATAGTTAAACACATATTAACACCAAATTGATATAAAAATATATAAAATAATGAATAATTATTTTTCTCCTAAAATTAAACATTCTTATGCTATATACTATATAAAGGAAAAAACAATGAAATTTCTCTGATTTGTCTGTTTTTGGAAAATAAATAAAATAAAATACTTACCAATACCTTGAGAATCTTCACTGGATGCATCTGGTATTTCAAGTTTAGTTACACTGTTAAATTGTAAAGAAACAAAATCATTACATATACACATATGTACAGTATATACATGTTATTTATTCACTAAATAATGAATTTACAATTATTTAAGTAAAAATTAAAATATATCTTAGCAACCATAAACATTCTAAATAGTTAAAACAAATTCTGATAATTTTCCAACTGGGTTTAAGTACAAATATAAGTAGAACTTATTGTGGTCAAGTTATATTTATAATTTACATTGGTGCATAATTGTAAAAATTTTAATTCATTAATATTTTCATTGTGGACTGAAGATTGACATTTATGTGATAATTGAAATAAATATAATAAAGTTATATGTTTCCTTGCTTAGAAGATAAGTTTTACATTTATAACTAGATTAAACAAATACACTCTAATATATAAATATATCCATCATTCTATTAAAACAATTAGGTGTACAATTTTTTTATAAATCTAATTACATATATTAATGTAATTAATATATGTAATTAGTTATGATTTATATTAAAATCATAGAATGTGTTCATAGTTCAATTCAATTAATTTTCACTTCACAGTTAACAATATGCTGTATATCACACTAACTACATGTTTCATTTGTTACTGATATGTTAAGTATTTGTTATTATATTTGTTTAAACAGTTAACATAAATACTGTATTAGGAATTAACCTGTCACTAGTCAAATTAATTTAATTTGGAGCGTGTTTCTCAGATTGCCTCATCAAGAGACGAATTTCTATTTGTTAAGAACAATGCATTACAGTATTCTAACTTTCTGACACTTATTTTGCCAGAAACCCAGCCGACAACAAAACAATATCTTAAGCTTAGTACGCAATGTCCAAATGTCACTCAACAAAGTTGCCAGTTGTGCTGTAATTATCAGATTTTAACATAAATGTGCATAATTTAGTTTTCAATAAAATTTTTACAGGTAAAAGTAGGTAATGTATTTTGTATTCTCAGTGGCAGCAATAATCTGACAATGACATTATTTAGATAATGTTATTTCTAAGATGTGAGTCATACTATGAGGGTTTCATAACATTTATTTTTTCATTCTCAATAATTTTTTGACATTTTCATTTATAGACCAGAGGAGTTTAAGGAAAATTTGCCTATAATTTTCTAAGCTGAATTAGCCAAAATGCTAGAAATCCTATTTTTTTAAGCTTTAGCCTAATGTATGTTGTATAATATAAGTTGTTAATTTCTGATTCAATGAATAAAAGCTGTTTTAAATAATGTAATTATATTTTTTTTTGTCTTTATAAAAACTTTACTTTTATATATCATCAGCTAAATTTGAAACTTTATTACATACTTTTATTCTTTATCTTATAAAAATTTATTTCATTTTATTTTTGTAATAAAATTAAATAAAGTTTTGGTAAACTGGAAAATTTGTCCATAAATAATAACTATAATAGTAAATATACTTATTAAGATATATTAATTAGTAAATATAGTTAAAAGTTGCAAAGCAAAAAATAATATCCAATTGTTGTATTGGATTAATAAATTGCAAATGATAAACATTTCAAATGTGTTTCTATTTATCTTCAAATTCATAAAGCATATTGAAACAAACAGTAAATATTTCAAATTCAAAAACTTAGTAAATATACAACAATCCATAGTACCATTTTAATAACTAAACATATAAAAAAAAAAGTTAATTTTTGGGCTAAAAAATAATTTTCCTTTAAATTATGTTTATGTAATGTAACAATTCACTATTTAATTGCAGCTACATTTTAACTGAAGAGCTGACATGCAAAACAAGTTATATCCACAGTACATGGTGATGTTTGGATTTAACTTAGCAAAAACAATGTTTTAAAAATTAGATATCACTTATTTTGTGTGCTAGCCCTTCAATTACAAACAACTGTGAATTATCAGTAAAATATTTAAAGTTTAAATTTAAACAAGTAAAAAATAACAAAAAAATTTTGTCTTCCACACTAAATCTCAGTCATTCTGACTGAGTTCTCTCTCTGTAAGTTAGAACAAAATCATTCAAAACTGTTTGAATATTTATATTTACTATCTCATCAGAAGAAATGGACTAAGTAGAATTAAGTGTTTGAAATTGAATTCATGCTTGTAATTTTTAAAATTTCAGTTCTACAACACGCTGTCTTCAATAAATTCATCTACTCCATCAATTAAATTCTAATCTATACATAAACTTTTTCAATGCTTTTTGTGTATAGATTTGAATTGTAAAATTTCTTTTTTGCTTTTCTAATGCATTAAAGATTCAGCTTGATATCTAGCAAAAATCAGACTTCATATTGTAAGTTTAATAACACAATCACAATACCTTTTTTCTCCAAAAGTTTGCCCTCCAATCTTAATTTTTAATTTTAGTGGAGGTTTTCCTCCTTCGCTCGCCGTTGGACTTCCAGATCCATCTTCAGCATCTTGTTCTGAACCTTTTTTCCTTTTGTGCTTTTTATGCTTATGTTTTTTGTGCTTTTTATGAGGAAGCATACCTCCATCTGAAATCATAATCAACTATTTAAATTATTGATAAAAATTAAGATTATTACTATAAATTTATCAATAATTCAAGTCTAGATTTTTTCTTTACTTCAATTTGTTCATTTTAATAATGAATTATTAAACTTTTTTAAAGCAAAGCCAAATAAAACTTGCTTAATATACTTGAAATTTTAAAAGTAAAATTCAAAATAATTAAAAAATTTGAAGATAAAATTTAAGTTTCTAAAAATGATTTAATCACATTCTTTCAAAACAGCTACTCAGTCAGATTTAACCAAAATGCTTTTTATGAGACTAAACATAATATAAATCACATTTTCCTTAACAATTGAGTTTACACCGTTCATTTTTGGAAATTTAACCCAAGAATAAACAGCCAAGGGATCCAAAATCAAAGAAAGAATTTCTGACAAATGCAAGTATACAGATTAAAGAATAGCGTCAGTATTCGCTCGTCCACGCCACATAGGAAAAGCATTAACACAGAATTTTTATCCAGAAAAGTTTTCCTTCAACATAAAAGCATTTTGATCAAACTATATGATTTAATAAATCTTTGATTCATTAAGTACTTTGTGGGTCTTAAGAATCCCAAAGCATTAGTTAATCTTCACGCCAGAAGTCGGCGTTTTAAGATAAACCGGCATCTCGGGATTCCAAGGACGAGGGCCAAGCGGCCCGGAAAGTATTTAACAAATTAAAGATTCTCGGCTCACGTAAGGAAAACGCGTATTAATTTTTCATTAAGGAGTCGACGGAAAGTCGTTACGTCACGGGACACAATTACAAAGTCGCAAAAAGCGTTAAAGCATAATTACCTCCCGCAACAACTTCTTCATCTTTCTCCTGTTCAGTTTTAATCTTCTTCTGCTTTTCATCCGCTACGTTTTCATCTGAAAACATGACAAAGCACTTTTTATACAGGATAAATTACAGATGCAAATATTCCAGTAGTAATTTTACAATAATAATTCATTTAATGGCAATTAAAATCTTAATATATCAAAGGATAATTCTAGTTTCGATTATTATTCCGAATAAGTAGTTTCAAATACGCTTTTATATACGATTGGGAGAGTAGAAGTTACTTTTGGTAAACTATGTATAGACATAGTTCTATGTCATTTACCTAAAAGTAACTTGTACCGTAAAGAGGAAAAATATAGAATTAAAAGCGTAATTTAGTTACGATAACGAAACCTTGGCATATTCAACGGTTAATCAGCTACCTGTTTGTTCTTCCGCGTTCATTTCTTTTCTTTTCGGTAAAACCATTACATACGCTCACTTACTTCTCTCGACACCCAGTCGATGCTCGATCGTAGCGCCATCGCCGAACAATTAATCAATTTTAAAAGAACATTTTGGAGAATTATTTACTAAATAATAACTTTAAACAATGCAATATTAATTTAAATAATACGGATATCATTCGATAAAGTAAAAGAAAATGATCATCAATCTTATATTTCATCATGGCGGTTAAGTCGATCGTTTTTGGACCACCGCAGATAATATGGCCCGTTAGAAGGCCAAAAACATTTCTTTTTATTTCCACTATAAAATCTTTTAATTGCTGCTATGGGTTGTTCACGCTGCGCTATATGAAGATAACGCACGGTCTTCTTTGTTTCTGATTGCGACACGGTGAAAAGAGCACGTACAGTGCAGATACCGAACGAGAAACACGAAAAAATGGAACGTGCTTTTTGCATCGATGGTTGCGTTGTTATTTAAAAAATTGCTCTGTTATGCCCTAAACAACTTTAGTTACCTGTCAAAGAGAAGAGAAACACACGATTCGTACGACGAATGAAAATAAAATTCGCTTTTGTTACGGTGAATGATAAATACTGCTGTTTAATTTGTGTATTAATGTCTTTTTTCACTTTGACTTTTTCCGTCTTGTTGGCACTAAAAAGGCCTTTTTTCCCCGTACCCGTCGTCTATGGAAAATAGGTGATGATAGGTGAGCCCAACATATCCGTGACAAAACGTTGGTGAAAAATTTCTGCAATTTCCCAGAATTCGATCCCGGGTTCCACGGAGCAATAGGCTCACACACTAACTGCCATGGCCATCCGACTGTCTTAGTGTCTTTACCAAAACGCTCGGGGTTGCCCATCCCCGAGATAGAAGGTGGTCGAACGTCATATCTCGCGAGGGGTCGGACATAATGAAGAATTTACTTGTTAACATTCAGTTTTATTTATTTATTTATTATAAAATCCATCTGCACTCTCAAAATCAAATCTTTTGCCTTTTTATAATAAGTAAAAATACAGAAATATTTTATACCAAAATCTCATAACAGATAGTGCCTCACACAATTTTATTTATTTATTACGATTAATAATATAAAAGTTATTTTTTAAAATAAAATCTCATGACAGCAGGAAAAGTTACGAAACCCGTTACTAAATTTTTTTATCACAGACTAGATAGGGTCTTGGTTACACTGGCCCGCCGAGTACATAAAACCACTAAACAATGATGTTTGGTCGCGGGCTGGCGTCTGACCAACGAGCTGTCCACCTGAAGTGACCTTCGCGTGTTCAACACCTAGATTGGAGCTAATTTCCCATAGAAAGTCTCCTCGGGAGGTACCTAATTGGCAGATTGCCCATATATTGTTGCATTTCCAATCAAACCGAATCATACTCACTGGAAACGTTCGACTTGTCATCAAGATTATCTATGTCTCTATGATAATTCGGCTATCTTCTCGGACGATAGCGCCAGTAGGGTTAATGATTTCTTCAGTTAGAAGCGTGTAGACTTGTTCTCTTCGAAGTTGATTGCCGGTTTTCAATCGTATTGTAGATCGCGTAAGAACTTTTTCAATTTATTATGCCTGTTTTAATATTTCATAATCTTCTGTAAGCGAAAGTAAATTTCAATGCCAAGCTCATCATCGCCAACTTCTATTTTGTTTTAGGCGAGCAGCAACCGATATTTACTCTGCAATCTCTAGCGACCAAACAAAGCGCTATATTTTCGTGCAATTTTTTGGACAGATGCGTCGATAATTATTCTTTACATTCCCGTAGATCCGGAATTTGTTAGTGTTATACTTTCGACAAGATAAAAATAAAAAGAAAAAAATGTATTGCAATCAAATCAACATTTCTAAACTATTCTTTAGAAATGTATTTATTTACTTTTTTCTTATATTCAGTCGACCCCCTATAACACTTTTGATAATTCCGTTTTATATGAATTCCATGTTGTACGAGTCACTTAGATTTTACAAATACGTGAGCCGTTCACAGCCTGGCACACGTATTTGTAAAATTTAAGTGACTCGTACAACATGAAATTCATATAAAACGGAATTATCAACAGTGTTACAGGGGGGTCGACTGTATATGTCCATTATCTTTAGTCTTATAATGTTATCTAAATTCCTGTCTAGTATGATTCCTAAAAGTTTTTTTGCACCTAAAACTAATATTCTCCTCCCTATTGATGTATACCGAATTTATACATCAAAAGATACGTGTGAGACAATTAGTATTCAGTTAGCTTTCCGGTCAACGAACGGTGCCGAACGATAAAGAATCAGCCTGATACAATTAAAGAACAAAAGAATGGGACACAATACAACGCGAAAACAGAAATGATTCGATTCTCATCTCGAGGAAATACAAAGAATTAAGAAAAGTCCATTTCAATGTAAATCCATCTCTGTAATCCAGAAAAACGCACTTTGGTAGACGTATCTCACAGCCGATTATAAAGAAATTATATTATATTAAGAAAAGTCCATCGAGAGATCCTGCGTGGTAATTTCGACTCAACTGATATGGAAGTTTTAAATATTTTCGACGAAATTTCGCCTTCTTAGGATGATTAAAATTACCAATCTATTTAAATACAGTAGATACGTCCCTATAACGCGGTAGATACTTTCCGCTTTATAAGAATTTTGCGTTGTAGGAATCATTAAATACATGAGCCAATCACAGCCCGACACGTGTGAAGTTTACGGACTACGGCTGTTTGAAAGGTTTTCTTCCATAAAATTAATCGATTCTAGACTAATTCGACTCAACATTTCCAAAACACGTATAATTTTTTGGGAATAATCCGTAAAAACTATGCTATAAACAATAACTTGTAGGATTACTTATCGAGTGTGCAACGTTTGACGTCGCCATTGCTTAAGCTTGTTTTCGTCGCGGAGCAGCGCACCAAACGGCGGCCGCGATTTCTGATAAATTATTTTTCTGCGAAAAATTCGTTGAACTTTGGAGACATCATTACTATAAATAATTTTTATGGCCGTTGAATAAGAAATGTTTTTTTCACAAGAAATGTATAAAATTACAGTGCTGTATTAGACTTACGGTACCTAATTTACATACTGTACAGACGATAGTAAACTCAACTTACTCCTCTAAACTCTCAGTAGCGTGTAAGTAGTTCGGCTGCTCGTCTACTATTGGTCCAGATTCGACCAATCCTGTCGCGACACGAGTCGGCGATGACGTTTTACCGCGTTTTACACGTTTCTTTTAGCGTCTTTATACGAATACTGTCGCAATTTTTTCGCCGCGTTATAGGAATCCGCGTTATAGGAATCCGCATTATAGGAACCCGCATTATAGGGGGGTCTACTGTAAATTCACAAAACTCGCACCCTTTTAGTGACCGTGTAGGCTAAACGGTACTATGTCGAATGTACTGTACCGTACATATTGTACTGTACAGTATATTCGATCTCACATCCGAATGTATATTTAACCACACATAACACATATTTATTTGCATAATGTATAGCAGGTGTGGCCAAACTTTTATCCCTTAGGTGCTACTTTTTTGGTAAAATATAGTCTGCGGGAGACTATGAATATGAGCAAACAATTTTAGGATTTTTATATGCGCATGCATTAACATTCATTTGCATTGTTCATCGGGATAAATACAAACAGTATGGGTACGTTGCACAGACAGTCTATTATTGTAAGAATAAATTATCGAATTAAGATTTTTAAACATTAATTTAAGTGAAAGCAAATTGTTCAACTTTAGCTACGCGGGCTACTTTCAAAACATTTGCGGTCGACCGGTCGACCGCGGTCTACGTGTTGGCCATCCCTGATGTATAGGATATATGAATATATATATGTAACCTGGATAAGAAACTTACAATAGGTGTTTTGATTTACGAAGTGGAAAAATAAATTGGTGTGTCGAAACTTGGTATTTATCGTGCAGTGCTGACATCTATTGCATTTTAAATTACTTTTGAACAAACGATAATAGGAAATTTCATTATAATTGCAAACACCCGCTTCCGGAGGAGGGATTGAAGCCGCGATTGGAGGAATTACTAGCAACGGATGCAAATGTTTTGCAGGAATTCGGTACAGTACTTGGCATCGTCGCTATGTGACTCTCTTTAGGCATCCGCGCAGTCGTCCATCTTTAGAAGATTCGCAAAACGCTTACAAAAATGTTTTACCTCGTATTATAGTGTAAAAATTTAAATAAAACAAATATATATATTAAAAGCAAAACACGAACTTTCGGTTATCTCTTTGTTCTGGTTGTAACGATTAGTTCAATGCATTTGTAGGATTTCGATTCACACGGTAATTTGGAGAAACGAATAGAGCGAACAGAACACGTCAAAGACGAAACTTTACTTTCTTCCTCTACTACAGTTATAATTATTAAAATTAAACGAGCAATTATTGTGACATGGTCGCAATGCCGGGCTGCAATTTTTAGTCACATTTTTAATTTATTTAATTTAAAATATACGCTTACCCAGTATATCATACCTTTCCTTTAACAATATTGTCACGCCAGTCATCTATTAGCCGCTTTCGGGGGGAAGTTTTGAATCGAAATAACCCGGCTTCCGGTTTGTATCGGACGTTCATGTATAGGCCTTAAGGTTTCCATATCTGTTCGTCTTTCATCTATCTAACTCCGTTCTCGAGAATAAGGAAAGACAGATGGACGGACCGACGGACAACAATGGGAATTTATAGGTCTACAATTTTTACTTTCCCAGCTATTATGACGATCCGACAAAAAACGAACTCTCTAGATTTTTACATTTTTGGACTAAGCACATCTCGAAACGTCGAGAAATGCAAAAATATTTGGGGGTAATTTCTGTATGTTTGGATGTTTGGATGTGTGTGGGGGGCACGACTTTGTTCATCCTGTTTGAACTTAATAACTTTTGTGCTTTTTGTCCAAAATTTCTGAAATTTTGCAGAGATGTTTGTTTATTAGAAGGATTGATGCTATTAAATTTTGGTGGTTAAAGGTCGAGGGAGTGGTAAGATAACACGGGTCGTACGTATCTCCAAAGCAGGGGTCACCAAACTACGGCCCGCAAGGTCAGTTCATCGGCCCACCGCCGCACTG